CTAACAACCAACCGGGCACGGACCCCCCGAAAATATGCCGGCAAATTACCGGTATCGCGGCCAAAGTATAATAACGAAATTAAAAAATAAGGTAAAGCTTAAATTGCACGAAAGCGTTTAAAACGCAAAAGATTTAAAAAATTAACCCCGGGTGCCCGAAAGGGCACGAAAAAAAAGGAGGTTAAAAAAAGAACAATTTTTGTTAGCGATAGCACTTTTGGTAAAAAATTTACGGAAGCTTAACAAAGGAAATACCGCATCCGGCCCGTAACCCGGTAACTACCCGCCTTTGCACCGATTAACCCTTAACAATTTGCTAGTATATTTAATACGTTCGTACGTATTTGCGTACGTTTTTAGCTATATCCGGCCATTTAAATTGCCGTTTAAACTTTTTTAAAATTTTAGCCATGCCTTTGTAATTACCCGTTAAGTTATCGTATTGTTTTTAAAGCATTATCCGTTTAAACGGTATTAAATTCGGAATTTAAATTTTTTTTTGTGCTTAAGCAAATCGTTATTAATTTTTTAAACGTTGGGCTTGTTTTTCCAAATATTGCTTTAAACGAAATCGTTTTTTGTTTATACTTTAAAAATGCGCTTTAATATTGTTTTAATATCCTTTTTAATAATAATCGTTTTTACGTAAATTATTTTTCGAAATTTAACCAACAAATCGTTTCGGAATTTTTCCTTTGCTATATTGGTTTTCCCGTTTACGGGTATGTTTTAAAAACGTTTTAACAAATTATCCGCAAAGTTTTGGTATTTTGGCTTTTATTTAATCGTAAAGTTATATTTTGCTAAATTTTCGAACCATTTTGTTTAACGCTTTATTACCTTTTTTTTGTTAAAATATAAATATGGTTTAAATGGTTAATAATTATTTTAACAATTTCCTGTAAGTAAGCTAAATAATGCCGTTACTTTTCGAAAACTTTTACAATTGCTATCAATTTTAAATTAAAAATTGTATAGCGCAATTTTTTTTGTTGTAATTTTTTCGACATGTAAGTTACCGGGTGCTACCGGCCGTTTTATAGCTGCAATAGCACCGTTTTTATCGCAAAAGCCAAAGCGTTAATCCGTACGCATAACGGTTTCGAAAAATTAAAATGCACTAATACCAAAGCTTTTGTAAATAGCAATTTTAATTTGCAAAAAGCCTTTTTCGCAACATTTTTTAGGTAAAATACGGTGTTTTTGCTAAAAAAATCCGTTAAAAGCATAGTAATTTTCGCGTAACCCTTTACGAATTTCCAATAATACTCCGTAAAGCCCAAAAATACTTAAATATTTTTAACGCTTTTCGATATTTTTTACTTTAAAATTGTAATAATTTTATCCGGCAGGATTTTAACCCCAAATTTAATTATTTTAAACCTTAAAAAGTTAATACTGTTCGTTTCGAATTTGCATTTGGCCGGGCTAACGTAAAATTTAAACCGTTCGAATCGTTTTAGCACCGTTTTTATTGCTTCGCGGTACTTTTTTTATATTTTCGAAAAAATAAAGATATCGTTTAAATATACAATGCAATTGCTATTAATTAATTTCTTAAGCGCTATATTAATAAAACTTTAAAACGTTATTAAAGCGTTAGCCAAACCGAAAAGCATTACCAAGTATTTGTAATGTTTATACTTGCAGCGAAAAGCAATTTTCCATTTATTTTTTTATTAAATTCGTATTTTGTAATAAGCGTTTTTTAAATTTAATTTGGTAAAGTACTAGCTTTTAAATACCCGGTTAAATATTTCGTAAATTAACGAAAGTGTTAGCCGGTTTTTTTTGGTAATTTTATTAAAACCCCAATAATCGATACAAAAGCGGAACTTCCCGTCCTTTTTTAAAACGAACAAAATCCCGGCGTTAACAAAGTTAATTAAATGCCGGATCCAACCCTTTGTTATAATTTTATTAAAATACCCCCGGAAAGTTTTTAATTCCTTTTTAAATAAAAAATAAATGCTTCCGTAAAGCGGCATCGTTTTTTTTTCCAATTCGATCGCGTAATTTTAGCTTATATATTTTAACAAAAGGTTTAATTTATAAAATTGCGCATGTTTTGCAACCATCCTTTTAATTTATTCCGGAAAAGTTTTTAATTTTTCCCCGGGATTTTCCGGGGTTTTCGGGCGTGCAACCGTTAGTACGGTTATTGCTTGTCCCGATTGGATTAATTTTTTAACTATTTCCAACGAAATTATTTTAACCTTTTTGGTAATTACCGGGAATTTTTACTTTATATTCCCAAACCGGATTTTAATATCCTTTTGCTAAAACCAAAGCATGCTTAACGTAATGTTATACCCGGCCCGGGGCATTATTACGTAAAATACCATTAATTTTCGGGTTATTTTTTAGCTATCCGTTACCCGAATTTTGTATTTTTTTACCTTTAACGTAAGCATGCGTTTTTTAGTATCGAATTACGCCAAATAGCCCCCGTTTGGCACCGGTATTTTTCTTATTTTTACCAAAAAATGGCTGTGCAGCAAATTAACGTTGCTTTTATTGTTAACCAGCGCTTTTAACTTTACCCGGCAACCGTTAATTCGTAAATATACTTTGGTTTTTTAACGCGTTTTGGCCGCCGGGGCGCACTTTTAAGCCCCAATGTTTAAATGGCTAAATAGCGGTATCGAATTAAATAGCGATATTTTGCTTTTTTTAAAGCACGCCGGCCGGATATAGCCTAGCTTTTTACACCCGTAATACCGTACTTCGGGCTTTTTTCCCTTTGCCTTTTATGTAATTGCTAGGGCCAACGGGGTTTCCGGGTTATTCGTTCGTATTTTGCATACTATAGCAATGTAACCCAATTGCCCGCATTTAAAACAAATAACCGGCTTTTTAAAGGTTAAAATATTTGTATTCCCCGGCATCCCTTTATACAATTTTAATATTATTTTTGCTTTAAAAGCTTTAACTTGCAATTTTTCCATAATGTAAAAAAAGCTTTTAAATATTACCCGTTTTTGGATTTTAGAGCGAAACCGGTTAAAAAGCAATATCGTTTTTATCCATTTAAATGCTAATTCGAAAAGGTCGTTTTTTACCAAATCCTAATAAATTCGAAACGCTTTAAACGATTTGTAATTTTTTTGTTTAATAGCGATATCCCCCGCAAGCTTTTTAATTGCTAGCTATATTTGCAAATTAAGGTTTTTCGATTTTATTTAAAATTACCGCAAAAAATTGGTTTAAATAAGCGATACCCCGGTATTTAAATAATGCATTTGCTTGTATTTTATTTATTGCGCCCGTTAATAATGGTTAAAAATGCTAAAGGTTATTTGGACCTTTATACGGTTTTTACCGTAACGTTCCCTTTTGCTTTCGAAAATAAATTTGTAATTGTTAATGTAATGGGCGATATTTTGCCAAATTGCCGATTTTTTAAATATAAAAGGTTTAAAAGTAACTTTGCTTTACGTAAAACCTTTCCGTTGCTTAAAGGTATTTCTTTTATTTTTGTTTAAGCTTTTATACGCATGCTTTAACCCTTTATTTTGGATTTTCTGGATTAAGCAAGCGCGTTTGCTTTAAATTTCCAGCGCATTGTTTATTTTTTGCAGTTTTTTTACGGAAAGGTTTTCGAAATCGTTGGAAATTTGCGGGGCTTTTTTAATATTTTGTTCCGATAGCTTAACGGCTTTTTTTAACGTGCTTAACGTAACGTTAAGCGTTATTATAAACGGTGCGAAATCGCAAATGCCCTTTTTAAATTTGCTTAATCCCTTTCGGTAATTACCCGGGCTTATTTCCCAAATAAAAAAGGTAAAAAAAAAAATAATATGTTAAAAAGTTAATTAGTACAAAAACGAATAATTACCGGGTTACGGGCCAAATGCGGTATTTCCTTTATTAAATTTCCGTAAATTTTTTACCAAAAGTGTTATTGCTAACAAAAATTGTTTTTTTTAATTTTCCTTTTTTTCGTGCCTTTTTAGGCACGCGGGGTTGGTTTTTTAAATTTTCCGCGCTTTAAGCGCTTTCGTACAATTTAAGCTTTACTTTATCTTTTAGCTTTGCTATTATGCTTTGGCCGCGATACCGGTAGCTCGCCGGCATGTTTCCGGGAAGGTTTGTGCTTAGTTGGTTGCTAGCGCCCTTTTTTTCCTTTTTTGCCGGGCGGTTTCGCCCGTTTTTTTAACGCCCCCCGTTTTTTGCCGGGCGGTTTCGCCCGTGCTTTTAACACTATTTCCAAGCTTTCCAAAGTGGTAATTTGTAATTTTATTAATAAATTACAAATTATTTAAATAATTTGTAACCTTATTATATATAAATTTATTTACCCCGTTCGAGCTATATAGCACATGGGGAGCACTACGGATCGGGTTAATTACATAAAGGAAGAAACCGTGCCTCCAGCCGATAGCTATTTGGTATAAAGCTGGATAAAAACCCCTTCCTTTCGAAGGCTTTGCGATTGCGCGTTTTTTTCGTAAGTAAAAATCCTGCACATAAAATTACATTAATAATTAAAAAGGCACGAACACGAGCGTGCATAAAAAGCGCGCTACAACTTACGCGCTACAATCCCAAATAGCACATTACGATCCGGGTTTTATTTGCGAAATCCAAACGACCGAATTAACAATATTTTATTTTATTATAAAATTTATTCGTCGATTATTAAATTTTACCTTTTCCAACCAAAGCGTATTCCTTTTATTTTCCGGGCCAGGCGCGCCTTTTCGAAAGCGGTCCTTTCCTTTTTTTTAATTGGTGCTATCATTTTATCGGCCGACTTTGTTATCGGAATTGCTTTCGTCGCTATCGGTACTTTTATCCCTCGCCGCAACCCCGGCGCTACTATTTCGATAGCCGGTCGGATTTATTTTGGCCCAAGGTCTTTATTTTTTTGTTTGCTTTATAACTTGTGCGTTTACAAGCTGCACGTGCTTTAAGGGGGCCTTTTGCTTAAACCTTCGGCACGTGCGTTACAGGGCTCGGGGGTAGGGAACCCCGCTAACGGGTCGCAAATGGCTTCGCTGGAATCGAAGGGAGGTCGCACGTAAGTGCCATAGGGCTCGTCGATAAGGATAAAGTCTTTTGTTGCTGTGGGCTTTCTTTGTTGTAGGGACCAACTGTTCGGAAAAACGTCGGAACGGTTTAGGGCTTAATAAATCGCTTTTTTGCACGTGCGAAACAAAAAACCCGGTGTCCCCGGCAGGAGTCGAACCTGCGTCCTCCAAAAAGGACCTCCCAGCGCTGAACCACTGCGCCACGAGGACTTGTAACCTTATTAATAAATTACAAACGGCTTATTTAAGCTTTTTTGTAGTAAAGGGTAAGCGCGTGCTTTCCTTTCGCTTTTTTAGCTTCCAATTTTGGCCGGGTAATTATTGGTCGTAACATTAAATTTCCTTTTTATTGGCCAAGCCTTTTTGGCTTGCTTATATCCATTCCTCCCATTGTTAGTTGTAAGTATTATTTTTCCTTACTATTTAACCGTTTTTTTTTTAATAATGTTAAATTAAATACAAAAACGCTTTGCGCGCTTAACCTTTTGGCGCAAAAACCTTTTTGCTTTAATTTTTGCATTAGCTATAAATATAAATTTTTGCTTTTTTTATCGGAACGTTTTTAAAAAAAATATTCGCCCCGCCCTTTTGTAGGATTTTTTTCGTTGCGTAAAGTGTTTCGCTTGCAACCGTTTTGGTTGCAACATTTTAAGTTTTTTACTTAAATAGCTGCGTTTTATCGGTTTTTAATACCAAAAAATTAAGGCCGAAATGCAAGCTATTAAAGTTAAACGTTGTGCTTTAAACAACCGTTTCGAGCGTTTTTGCAAGCAAAAAAACCTTTGGCTTAAAAAGCAGCTGCGGGCGTTGTTTCGGGGTATTAAAATTGTGGAAAAGTTGGAATAAATAAAACGAGCGGAACGGGAAAAGGTTGTTTTGGTAGCGATTAGTCCCTTTTCCTCCTTTTAACCCGATTTCTTTCCTTTATTTCTTAATTGAACCGCGTTAAAAGTTAATTTTAACCTTAACCCGTTAGCCCTTTTTTAACCGGGTAAGTTATAACTTTTTTAATAACTTTTTTTGGTCGTATAGCGCAATGGTAACGCGTTTGCTTTCGTAGCGGGAAGTTTTGGGTTCGACCCCCGGTGCGACTTTAGCAGTTAACCGGGCAATCCATGCCTGGTTATTTACTAACTTTTTTTTTTTTTNTTTTTTTTTGCTTTAAATTTGCCAGTTTA